TAACAACAATGGCCAAAATCCTGTTTCTTAGCATAATAAGTTGCACTAGAGTTGGACCCACTGAATCAGTGAGGATTTAATGAATCATCTCCTTCATAAGTTCCATTGATCCAAATGGGTCTACTCTATATTTAAAACAGTCACAGTTAGAGCAGGCCAATTTGAATAAATAGAACTTAAGAGAGGCTCTATATATTTTATTTTAAACCCCTTCTTTGTTCTAAAATTGCTGCTAAAATTTCAGTGTATTTTTCCACACAGGTGTTTTTACAAAAATATCCAAGTACAGAAGGCTGTGAAATTGTGCTCCTGACAGATGGAGAAGATAAAACCATAAGCTCTTGCTTTACTAATGTTGCAAACAGTGGCTCTGTAATTCACACCATAGCTTTGGGGCCAAGTGCTGCCAAAGAACTAGAAATGTTGGCAGACATGACAGGTGAGTAAACAGAATATCTTAAGTCTTGTAAGAAGCTTTTGTGCTATGTGGCAGCTAGTAGCTACTGGGGATGTCTAAGTTGCTACAATGTTCAGTCAAAGCAGTGATTAAATGACATGAAACAAAACAACAATGCTTTCATTGTGTTAACCATGCCTCTAATTTCAATAAAAGAGAAAACAAAGGTATAAATATTAAAACATGGCTGTGACATATGCCCTGAGGTGCAATGGATCAACTGCAGTACTGCAGTCAAGGCTACATATGTTTCCCAGCAATCCCCCGCCCTGCCTTTTTTTTGTGGTAGATACCAACTCTTTTTATTCATCCTAGCTTTCATCCCAGCAATACATAATTAATTTATTATCTGTTGTATTTCTTTTAATTCCTGTTTTAAAAACTTAACTCATTGAAAACAAAAAAAGTTTTGTTAATATTTTCATTTTGCAAAGCAAAATCCTGCCAAACCAGAATAATTTCAATCTTTTATAGTTCTGTAATCTATCTTTTATTCCTTTCTTTATTCTTTCCAAATTTGTTTTCTTCAAATCATGTGTATTTTTGTGACATCTACACCCAAATATATAATACTCTCAATCACTTTGAATTTAAACTTGTACTTCATTTTTTCTGTTCTCTCTCTAGAATAATTGTATAACGTAATTTCAGATTTTTTTTCCAGTTCATTAAGAATCCACTTAATTCCCCAAACATCCTTAGGAATGTTTGGATTCCATCTATAGCTCTTGACAGGGACTTTACAGATAAGGGGGTGCCCTTTCTTTTGCCCCAGCCGAGGTTTATTCAATTCAGATACCAGTAATCAGACAGACAATGGAATTGAGAGTATTAAAGTGAAGAAAATTGTATTGTAGCAGTAGTAATACTGTACATAAACTGTACATACAGCGTTGTCCTTTCTTCAGTCCTTTGGTCATGCACATTATAACATTCAAGGTCAGTCCATTTACCATAGCATAAATCCAGTCATTACAGCATTCAATGTCAGTCCATTTACCTTAGCATAAATCCAGAGTCCGTAGTAATATTGTGCTTCATAAATCAATCCTGCAAAGTAACTCCTTCCTCTCTCTATTCTGCTTCATAAATCAATCCTGCAGAGCAGCTCCTTCTTGTCTCCATTTGACACACACACCCAGAGTGTTCTGAGGCTGTTAGCTTTATTGCCACTTGTGGCCAATTAGAGATTAGCTTCTACAGCCTTCTCTAGCATTTTATTTCCACAGCTGTATTAAAACTAACTGGTAAGCATGTTGCTAGCACAGCTGTAATATTTGATCAGACTCTTTCTACAAACTTTCTACAAACTTTGATTATCAGTTCCTATACTTTCTACAAACTTTGATTATCAATTCCTATGGGGATGTTCTAGACCTGACAGCTCTTCCTAGATTTTTTTACCATCAACAAAGTGTCATCTGCAAATAGACTTATTTTAGTTTTCTGCTGAAATCCCTTTTATTAAATCATCTCTTCTTATGGCACTAGCCAATACTTCCATTATTAAAGCAAACAATCCTTGTCTTGTTCCTCGACTTTTATTACAACTGTGACCCCATAATTTACTATTACTGTTGCCTTATTTCCTGAATATAATTGATGAATAACATTTCTAAATCTTGTTCCAACTCCTATTTCCTCTTGTTCGAACTCCCAGTTCATCCCATTTCACCAGTCCGTTTCCGGACCCAATTCAAACTGCTGGTCACTACCTATAAAGCGGTATACAGCTTGGGTCCACGCTACCTGAAGGACCGTATCTCCCCATATGCACCTTCTCGGTGATTAAGATCAGCAGAGGAGACCCTCCTCTTGGTCGATTGCCAGCACAAGCACAGCTGATAGGGACACAGGAGAGGGGCTTCTCTGTGGCAGCCCCCAGACTATGGAACGCTCTCCCTCAGGAGATCAGGATGGCCCCTTCCCTTTCATCCTTCTGAAAACAGCTAAAGACCCATCTCTTCAGACAGGCGTTTAACAAGTACAACTGAATCTCTGAACTTCATGTCAGCAGAAATTTTAATCTTTTTTTGTTTCATGTTTTAATCTTTTAATTGTATTTTAAATCATATATTGTTTAATTTATCTTTTAAAAATTAACTTATTATGTTTTTACATTTTGTGAATTTTAATGTTGTGAGCCGCTTTGGGTCCCTTGTTGGGTGAAATGCGGCGGCAGCATCATCATATCTTCAGCACTGGCTATTCCACACAATCAAAAGCTTTGCAAATATCTAGTCCTAACCTACCTGTTTTAAAGTTATTTTTATTGATAAAATATTTTTATTTAAAGCTCTCCTAACCAAATTAGATATTTGTCTTCCTCCTATGAAACCACACTGATCATTTTTCACATATTTAGCTACAAATTCACTAATTCTGCTTGCCAAGATTACTACAATCTGTACAATCTTAATTTAGCTTCAATATTAAAATTATCACAGACTGTTTCCATGGAGATATTTCTTCTCCATCTAATATTTTATTGAATAATATTTCCTTTATTGGCACCAGTATGCTCTAAAAAATTTTTATAATACTTGACACTCAATTCATCTATTCCTGCAGCTGTGCCCACTTTCAATCTATTTATTACTTCTAGGATCTCATCTTCTGTTATTTCTCATTCCATTCTATCTCTTTCCTCATCTTGGATTTTATCACTTATATTTTTATATAGGTATTAATCTCATGTAATGATATATTTTCCCCAGTATATAATTTTTCAATTTTTTAAAAAAAATCATTAATTTTCCTTTCATTATATTATACAATTCACTCTTCTCATTCCTTATTGCACCAATTATATATTTTGCTTTTTAAAGTCTGAGTGGCCTAGCCAATATTTTTGAATTCTTATTACTATTTTTTTAAATTCTCTTTTTATATATTAAAATCGTTGTATTTTTTCAAAGAAACAAAAAACAAAGAAACAACCTACATATCCTGATCAAATCACAGCTGTTTGTCACACTGAGCTTCTGGGTGCACAACTGCACAACCTCACTTATATGCACTAGTACAAAATACAGAAATTAATTTCATTTTATTTCCATAGGCACATTGTTCTAAGCATTCTTCTACTCATGTTTCAGGAGGCTTGAAATTTTCTGCTACAGATCGTTTGGATTCTAATGGCCTCATAGACGTTTTCAGTGCAATTCCATCAGGAAGTGGAAACACCAGTCAACAATCTATTCAGGTCAGCACTTCAAAGATTTGGGAGGAAGCAGAGGTCACTGTAGTAGTTGTTAGTAGTAGCAGCAGCGGAGCAGTAACTATACATTTTGGCAGCAGGGGCAAACCGCACCATTTCTCCTCTGCTTTGTGCTAATGCATGGACAAGAACTCCCACAAAGGAAAAGAAAGAACAGGATGGGTTGCCCACAAGGAAAGGAAAGGGAAGGAAGGAAGGAAGGAAAAGAAATGCAGCTTATAGGGAATAAATATATGAACAAATAATAATGATAAATGAATTTAATGCAGAAAAACATTAGTTATGGCAGCATGCAGGCAATGCATTTGGAGAGCATTCACAACTGCTCCCACCTATATAAATGGAGCTGTTCTACATCTTCCTGTGTTTAGCTGTAAGGCATTAAAGGGTACCAGTTTTAGCATCATTAGACTATCAAGATCTTGAAACAAAGTAGCCCTCCTTATGGCTGTACTAAAATTTATGAATATCTGGGAATGACATAATTTTCATCCTTTGGAATATTAAATGTATAAATTAGTAGGGCATCTTGTAGATAATACCTGTTTACTCTCGTAAGGAAATGACCACAGGTGTATGCCGAGCTTAATATTTAATTTTTCTGTTATAGTAAAATATTCTTAATTTCCCCCCCTAACAGCTGGAAAGTAAAGGAGAAAGCATCAATCCCAACCAGTGGCTGGATGGTATTGTATCTATTGATAAAACTGTGGGAAATGATACTTTCTTTGTAGTTACATGGAGTCTGAGCACATATCCACCGGGAATTTTCCTAACGGATCCAAAAGGGAGAAGATACACACAGGCCAACTTTGTCATTGACAAGACCAATATCCGAACAGCTCGACTCCAGATTCCTGGAACCGCATTGGTAAAGTCCACGTTCTCTTTAGATTTATATAGATAACTGTAGAGGCACGAGGAAAGTGTCTATAGGTAAATGGCTGCCTTATGGAGCCACTGGAGCTGCAGCTATGCTGACCAAGTGTTGTGTCACTGCAGCCAAAATTGCATGATAATTATACAGTTAAGGAGGAGTATTTATTCCAGAAGTTCTATATACAGCTTTTCATATTCTAACACATTGATTTGCAGGCAGGAAATTGGGTGTATTCAATTCTGAACACCCACTCAACAGCTCAGGTCATATCAGTCACAGCCACCACCCGAGCAGCATCTGCATCTGTGCCTCCAGTGATGGTGAAGTCCTACGTCAACAAAGACACCAATAGTTATCCTAGCCCAATTATCATTTATGCGGAGGTCAGCCAAGGATTTTTGCCAGTGATTGGTGCAAATGTCACAGCAGCGGTTGAATCAGCATCTGGACAAACTGAGGAGTTAGAGCTTCTTGATGATGGTTGGGGTAAGACTTTTTAAAAGTATCTGAGGTGGTTCTGTGTTTTTTCCAGTTAGGATGGGCCACCAGAAAGTGGTTCCAGATTAAATCAGGCCTAAATTCTTTCTAGAAGCAAAAATGACTACAACACTTTTGGGCACAGCTTAAGAAGATAAGACTCACTGGAAAAGACAATAATGCCAAGATAAGTTGAAGGCAGCAGGAAAGGAAGAAGACCAAATATGAGATGGATTGATTTGACAAAGGAAGTGGTGGCCTTGAGTTTGCAAGACCTGAGCAGGGCTGTTAATGACAGGACTTTTGGGAGATCACAAATTCACAGTGTTGCTGTTAGGTCAGCTCAGAAATTTGTACCATATAAAAGAAGAGCCTTTTTAATTGGAGATGTTGGGGTGTTAGTCCCTGCACATGTAAAATACAGTATGTGCTCATTGACAGATCTGTGATTCTTCCTCTTCTACTTAGACTTTATTTATTTATTTATTTATTTATTTATTTATTTATTTAACTAATAATAGCATGGATG